AGCTCACAGCAACCTCAAACTCTTGGACTTAAGTGATTCTCTTGCCTCAGACTCCCACGTAGCTGAGACTACAGGTGCCTGCCACAACGCCTGGCTGTTTTTGGAGACAAGGTCTTGCTCTGTCTCAGGTTGGTCTCCAACTTGTGAGCTCAGGCAATCCATCCACCTCTGCCTCTCAGAGTGTTAGGATTACTGGCGTGCCTGTGACTTCACCCTGTAAGTGAGTTCAGCACCCGGCCAGCCCACTGATACATTATTATTGACAAAACTCTATTGTTTATATTAGGATTCACTCTGTTAATGTTTTACAGTTCTGTGCGTTTTGACAAAAACATTTTATGTATATATCATTATAATGTCACACAGAATAGTTTCATTGCCCACAAATCCCCAGTCCTTCATTGCCCACAAAATCCCCTGTATTCCATTTCTTCATCCCCCCCACAAATCCCTGAGAATCGCTGATCTTTTTATTATCTTTATAATTTTCCTTTTTCCAGAAAGTCATATAGTTGGAATTATATAGTATGAAAGCTTTTGAAGCCGGCTTCTTTGACTTAACAATATGAATTTAAGGTTTCTCCTTATCTTTTTGTGGTTCAGTAGCTCATTTTATTGCTAAATAATACACCATTGTATAGATGTACCACAGTATATCTCTGCAGTGCTAGGAGGTCATCTTAATGGCATTCAAGTTTTGGCAATTATGAAGACAGCTGCTATAAGCATAATGTGTGCAGCTTTTTGTGTGGTTATAAATTTTTAGCTCATTTGTATAATAGGACTAAGTTTAGATTTTGGGGAAAGTGCCAAACTCTCTTCCAAAGTAGCTGTACCATTTTTCATTCCTACCAGCAATGAATAAGAGTTTCTGTTGCTCTATATTCTCACCAGCATTCAGTATTGTCAATATTTCTGATTTTGACCATTCTAATAGATGTGTAGCAGTATCTCATTGGTGTTTTAATTTGTAGTTCTTTAATAGCATCTGCTAAGCATCTTTTCATGTGTTTACTTACTGTGTATATGTCTTCTTTGGTGAGGTGTCCGTTTATAATTTTTTTCATTTTAAATTTATCGTGAAGTTTTTGTTTTTTTTTTTTTT